ACACATTTGGACGTAATAAATCCTTATCTCGAGCATAATGAGCAAGCTGACATTCAGTACAACCGGTGCCTTTTATTTAGAATACATACAAATGTAATTTACGTTTTTTAGTTTTTCAAAATATTTAAAGTACAGATTTTGAAGAGTGCGCATGTGCGAACGAGCTCTACTATGCAAGAACGAGCCAAATATTGAGTCTGGTAATAAAGCAAAACAACTGAGAACAATTAGAAATAGTCCTCAGATGACATGTCTGTAATTTATATAAAACAAATCTAGCGTTAATTGGACCTCAAACAGTTTCATTAAAAGCAGTTATTACTCCGCCACGTGCGAAACCAACGTTGTTGAACGACACTTTGCGACAGTGTGTTTCGGGTAATAACCGTGACTAGCTAGTTGATTTTTCCAACGATGCATCGTACTATGATAGTGAAACAGTGAACTACGTCGTTGTACGGGAAACGCACCCCTGAAATACTGACGCTGTTACACTGTGTTTAAAATGGATGAGACCATTACAGCTGTCTACACTGGACATGACAGACCACTGCAAGTCCCGAATTTGCTAGTCGTGGGCCGATCTCGATCATGCAACACTTTTTTATTAGGAGATCCAGACTCTGGAGATCCAGTAAAGAAATCCATTGAATTCGCATTAGAATTAATAACGTCATCACCGCGAGATCCTTCATTATGGCGAGACTTCATTATGAGTGTTTTAATATGCTTTATTTACAGACCGGTGTAAAATAATGCCATAGCCTGGACACACAAAATGTCTTTAGTTTCCAGATGATGCTGCAAGACAAAAAGTGAAAATATAGTGAAAGGAAAAACTCTTTTTCATCTCATAAATATCTAATATCTCTGTATGGAATTGCTGTTTTGAATGTAGTTTTAGATCACTGTCACTATCTCAGCAAACCACAGTGTGGCACCGTTAGGATAATGTGCATCTCCTCTTCTGTCTATCTAATCATTTCTTGTACCCTGTTTAGCCACACGTTCATAAGACATGTGTTATGCAACATGATAGAATTATGAATAGAGTTGTATGTCTTTGGACTCTTTCCGCTCAGCTGACAGTCTCATTTCTTTTCTATATGGAGTTGTTATAATTCTATCTGTTGGTTTCACCCGAGACCTGCTGTATGAACTACGGCACGAGCACAATAAAGCTGACTTTGAGTGAACTACACTTCTGTGTGTGTGTGTGTGTGATTCTTGGTCCCCAGATCTGGTGTTTAACTCTGCTCTATTGATCATTAACTTATTTTTAATATCTAGTTTTATCTAACAGACACTGTATGAAGCACGACTGTTTCTCTGTTCATTAAAGGGTACATATCATGCTTTTAAATCATTCATTTTTATATATAAATCATACCGTTGTGGTCTATATAAAACATAACTAATGCTTGGGTCTGAATTCCTCATTATTATAGCTCCACAAGCCCCTTTTCTGATGTGCGTCTGTGAGCGACCCGTTTCAAAGCGGCCCCTTTAAATAAAAAGGAGATGCGTCACACCCCGCCCGCTCTCCAGGTCGATGAGTTCAACTCCCCACGTTCGGCCATTATTGTAGTTTGATTAGAGATATACGATTATATACGATACCTTCAAAGAACATTTTTATTCACACTTAAATAAAATGTCAACAACAGAAGACTTGTCCATCAAGCCTTACATATTCGAGGCAGAGCGAGCGATTTGAAAAAGACCACGACGAACCTGCAGATCAACCTCTTCATCATATGGATGGATTGGTATGTGAGTTTAAATGTTTTGTGTTATTAGTGAAAGTCGACTATTTCTCTTGTTAAAACAAGCACACTGACAAGATAAATGACTGCGGTCTAATCTTACCACTAAAAATCCAACCCGATCTCACGGGAATTCGTACGAATTTTACGAGGTGGCTAATTCGTAACAATTCGTACGACCTCACTCGTACGAATTAGTACGATTTAGCTAAATCGTACATATTTTACGAATTAGCCAATTCGTATGAATGACCTACCCCTGACCCCGCCCCTAAACATAACCGTCACGTGGGTTTAGACAAATCGTACAAATTTGTTCGTATGAATTAGTACGAATTAGCCACTTTTGAATCACTCGTACGAATTCGTACGAATTGGTCGTGAGATGGGGTAGAAAAATCTGTATTAATAATAATATAATAACTTACGTGTAGAAAAGCATCAGAAAACACAGCTAAATGATAGGAGGAATTTACCTCTCATTCAGACGAAGTCGATCGGCAAACCCTTCTTTATACTGGCGGAGGTTGTTGAAGTGGGAATCCTTGAAGTACTACATCCAACAACCGAACATTTTGACTTGCCCTCTCGTAACTTCTGCATCATTGAGTTTGGACTACAAAATCAGAGCGAGAAATAATAATGGCGGATTGCTCGAAGTGTTGGACTTAGCAAAATTACGCAGTTACGCTGCAAATACAGTGACGTTGTAGTTCAAAAAACGTCATAGAAAACAGAAAAATCTGAACAGGTTGAAAAATATGACCAAAACAGAATATAAAGATATAAACGAAACACCTGAAGAGAATAATACTTATAAACACTCCAAATATACAACAAAAGGGCTAAAAAAGTGGATTTTGCATGATATGTCCCCTTTAAAGTGTCCCAATATGGTTTTTCAAATATTTCCTTTCATACAGTGTGTAAAATAGCTTTTTGTGATTGTAACTGTTCTGCAAAATTGTAAAGTTGAAAGTGCAAGATAAAGTTATTGTCTCCCAAAAGAAATAATCTAGTGTGAACCAGCTTTACGAGTCGTTTGGGTTTCGAATCCTGCTGCTTTACGGTTCTTTACAGTCGATCGCCTCCGAGCTTTGGTCTCATTCATCGGTCCGAAGTCAAACTCCAACAGTAACTGACTTAATAACTGCAGGATAAGTAACAACGTCAATAGAGCATACATTCGCATATAATGCCATCATGTTTTACGTGCTTAACCAGCTCACAACACGTCACTTTACTGATGACGGCTCAGAGTTCAACGTGGGATTCGCAAAATGCTTTACAAGTTTTCGATTGAGTCATTTCCGTTGTAAAAAATCATTAGTGAACATGCAAGTTTTCTCTATGTTAAATAGAGAAATAAATATATTATGGTTTTAAAAAAGCTCTTTTATTAAGTTTCTTTAAATCAGACTTAAATGTCCCCTTTCTATGACATTAAAGCTGTCTATGCATGTTTTAGAGAAGGTTCAGACGCTGAAAGACCCTCAGAGAGTTTTTGAAAATAATTCTGTGTTTAAAATGAAGTCTGATGCTGTTTTGCTCTTAGCTTTTCTGCTTTATGTGTGTTTTATGAGTTGTTATGCAGGTTTTATTTTATTATGTTGATGTTCTGTAAAGCACTTTGGTCAGCCTATAGTGTAAATGTGCTATATAAATGACTTAAAGTTGAACTTGAACTGATATGTGGCTTAAAATCCAGCTGTTCTTGCTTTATCCATCTGCTGAACATGAGATATACATGTTTTCGACTTTCGTAAGTTATTCTACAAAGTGTTTAATTCCTTTGAAATGCCTCCCAATATCCATGCCAGAAAATACTAATTATAAAAAATAAAGTATTACCTTGAAATGCAATGTAAGTCACTTGGATAAAGGCGTAAATGTAAATGTAAATTTAAACATTTAGCAGTGGCCAAATGTATGTTGCAGGTCACTTTACAAACTTCTCTTGCTTATCTATTCGGAAACAAATAAATATTCATGATTCCTATCTGAAGTGTTGATATTATTGTATATTTAAGGTCATATGATATGGATCACACTTCACAGGCTTTAAAAACACACGTCTGTGTAGTTTTACACATTTTTTTGTTGTCTAGTGCAGTAAACAATGTTTGTTAGAGTCATTTATGACCAATTTGTGCAAAACCTTGTGTTGTTTTAAAGATGCAAAATGATCCGTCTGGACACACAGACACTGATTTCCATTTGGACTTTGTTTCTTTATTTGAATGGCATCGCTGAGCATGAAAATAACCAGTAACTGAGCTCGTCCAGAAGCCCATATTAACTATATGGCATTTGTCTATTGTAACATTTGCTCTGTGTTTTGATGGATTATTAGCTGTTAATGGTTAATGTTGGCTTTCCATGAAAGGTAATGGACAAATACACATTTATATTAGGAATGAATGAAGTGAGAATGCTAAATATAAAAGCTTTGAAAGAACAGAGGCTTAAGAAATATTATTTAATAATGCATAAGAAATCAAATATTCTGTGATATTTATTCGTTTGTCTCCTCTTTATTTGTCATTTTTCAAATCAAGATTTTTCCCCCCATTAAATCTGACCTTTATTGAAATGGTTGCACAATGTGGTGTACAGATGTCCATACCGTACACACACTGCTCATTGTGTTACCTTAATATGCTTTATTAATCTTATAATTGCTAATTGCACAACCTTTTTCAACATTGCACTGCATTCCTGATGTCTCTTTTATTATTAGTGCTCGAGCACCGATGGTGTGAGGTTCATATTGAGATAGGTGACGACTAACAAAGAGCAAATCTTTAATGCTTTACAATGTCCAAACGCAATGTCATACTAGTTAAAAACTACAATGCAATAACTGCAAGATAATTTGAGAAGAACTTTTTAGGAACTTGTTAACTTTTCACTGTTCGTTTTGCAGACTTGTGAGTTCATCATTAACATGCTCCACAAGGACATTTAAACTGATAAAAACAAAGATACATTAAGATTACACGCACTACAAAGCCACCCAAAACAATTAAAGTGTATCTGTTTATCTCTTCATATAAATTCTTTGTGAAAATTATAGGAAATATATGCTCTGATTTTTATAAGTTATAGAATCATGGATATTATTACCCGTTCAATGTTTAGATCCTAATTTGCTAATTTAATTTTCTACTTAAATGCATGATATGTATATTAGCGTACTAATGTGATTTTTTGTATTTGTACTTTTTTTTCCAGTGACAAAACCTGTGGCAAGATGACGGACCAAATTTGCTTTCATCTGCTTTGTCTTTCAGGTAAAACATTAAAATAACATGCAGCTCTTTTCTCTCGTTGAGCTCATTGTCATATCCAGTGGCGGTTCTACATTGAATTACACCCTGCATTGTAAAAAATAAAATCGTAAAAAAAGGGTCAAATGACAAATACCGTAAAAATAAAGCAAAATATCCTAATTTAAAATAAGCGCAAAAAACATTTTACAGATATTTTTCTTGAATGTTTTACAGAAAAACACTGTTATTTTACAGCTATTATCTGGATTATTACGATACTGTAAAAACAATGCATTATTATGATCAAATACCTTCATTGTAAAAAACAGTCAATGACTGTCAGCAATGGCTGCCATACAAAAAACATAAAATTAATGTAAAATAGCCAAAGTAGAAATCTTCTTTAAGCTTTTTAACAGAAACACAGTTATTTCACATATTTCCAGAATTTTTTATCAAGAAACATGTAAGTGATTGTTGATATACTGTGACTATACATCACTGCATCAGCAACTACACAGTTACTGTCAGTTAAATAAAGCAGCATGCAGCATTTCATCAGTGTCTCTTTGCTCATCTTGAACTGAAGCACAGGCTCTACTCTTCAACGCAATGGAGACCAACAAAACACACCATACACAAACAATTTACATCCCAAAAGAACATTAAACACTAACAGATCTCTGCATTCTCACTTATTACAATCCGGACTTTATTTATTGCATACTAACCTTCTTACTGAGAATTAACAGAAGTTTAGAAGTTGATTTTTTATGGAAAATAATAAAGTTTGATGTCACCATGATGGAGATCAGTGTTTGCTTTAGTGGGGCTCTTGACCCTTTGGTTTTAACATTACTATTTCTCTGGCTGCTTTAACTGTGTGTCGCTGATACATATTTGTTATGGTAGGAATCCAACAAAAACTTAGATCAGAAGATCTGATCACTTGTCAGTGGTAATGGTCATCATGTAGTTGAATGCTTTATCGACACCACCTGAAGTGTGTAATATCTGATTAATTCATCAATATTAGTAGTTTGTTTTGCAATCCATTACTGTTATAGAAGATCATGCAGTGCCGTGATACTAAGATTTTATCAAGTCATAATACAGAAAATGTTTTGACAGGATCATATAGACTTACACAGACATCAAGAGTCAGCGTATGCATCACTACAATGGTGAACTACCATAAAGTCACATAAAGGCTTTGTTGATTGTCACCATTGTTGAGATTCACATGTTGAGTATTGATGTCATACTCCTAAAAAAATGAACTTGCTCAAACATTTTCTTTATAATAGATAATTTACTTAAATTTCAGATTAGTATATTAAAATATTGTTTTAATATTTCAAGGTTCATGGGGGAAAGTACAACACTTTTAAACTTAATCATGCCTATTTATAATGTAATTTCAACAGATACACCCGGGTATTTCTCAGTCATATCAGTGAATCAGGCCACCACATGAAGACTATAACATCACCAATAAATGACCAACATTAGCTGATATTTTCTACTGCTTTCAATGCTATAACAAATGTATGTTGAATACATAGTTAAATCAGCCAGAGAAAAATTAATAGTTCATAATAAAGGTCAAGAACCCAACTAAAGCAAACACTGATCTCAATCATGGTGACATCAAGTTTATGTTAAAGTTTTTTGCACTTTATTTAAATTAACATATTTTACTTTAGTTTTATGGTTATTGTTTGGCACCCTGTGCTACCAGTCAATTGACCCTTTTTTACGTTTTTTTTTATACAATGACGGTATATGATCAAAATAATGCAGGAAATACCTTTAAAGGTTCTCTGAGCGATCCTGGTTGTTGACGTTCGGAATATTTTCAAACAAATCGGAGGCTAGCTAGACCCTCCCTCTGCCGCATCTCATCTCCTCCCCCTCCCTTCCGTGCTTCTTGAAATAATTGTAAACGTGCATTTTCTAGCAAATTATATACTTGTGTGGGTTTGGCGAACATAAGCGTCAATTTAGAAGAAAAAAAACAATTTAACGTTACTCACCTGTCCAGCGAAAACAGAGCAACCTGAATGTCGGACTGGAAGCCCTTCTGCCGCCGGAGTTCTCGCCATCGTTCAAAAGCTTTGCTACCGATGTAAATTCGGAACTTCGCACGTTCTTTATCCGACTCCTTCTTCTTTTTAATTTGTTCTTCAGAACGACGTCTCTTTTTGGTCGTGTGTCGGCCATTTTTCAAACTTCCCTCTGATGCTTCTCTCCTTCACACACACACCCCCTTCATGTGCACGCGCACTAACCCCCCAGACCCACCCTCAAATACTTCTTGCCAGTGATTGGCTGGAACACTGTTTGTTAGGTTTCGTGGTCCGGGTGAGACATGATTGTTTTTGTTGCCGTTTGTGGAGCCTGTGATGTCTACAGAGACCGCGTTTTTTTACACTGTGTTTGGGGGACAGGCAGCTAGCCGATAGTGAGGAGACGTTTGATGTATGTGACAAATAATGTTTTGGCCCCACATCGCTTAGAGAACCTTTAAATAACAGTGTTTTTTCAGTTTATTTAAATTTGAATATTTTACTTCAATTTTATTGTTTTTGTTTGCCAGTCATTTGACCATCTTTTAAAGTTTTTTTTTTTTTTTTTTTTTACCATGACTGTATTTGATCATAATAATGCAGGAAATACCTTTAAATAACAGTGTTTTTCAGTTTATTTAATATGACGTTTTACTTTAATGTTAGTTTTTTGAGCTGCCAGTCATGTAATCATTTAACGGTTTTATTAACATTTAATTACAGATTATATTTGTAATTTTACATACATTTAAGAAAACAGAAAAATACTGTATGAAAAATACAATTAATTTCTGTTAAAAAAGTGAATTAATTTGTTTTTAATGCAACAATAGCTAAAATATCAGCTGCATTTTTATTTTGCAGATATTATTTGTAATTTTACAGTGTTGTGAGTACAATTTAAAATGAATGAAATGGTCGTCAAAAAAATCACAGTTATTTTCTGTGAAATTAGAATTTTATTTTTTTTTACAGTGTGGGCGAGACCATGTATCTTTATTGACTCATTCTTTTATAAAGATGATTTAAATGCTGAAATATGTGAGGTTTATCTTGTTCAATTTTCTATTAAAAATAATCTCTGACTCCTTGCTCAAAGGGGGTCTCGCCCAGGTTGTAATCCGATGTAGAACCGCCACTGTAAACAATGATAATATAATGAAAAAAACATTGGAACCTATAAGAAGGACACTGGGGGAAATAGTATATAAAAAAACTTGAAATGAGTGTATTCTGTCGACAGGACTCCTGTCACTAACTCTGTGTAAACCACACGGATATGTTCTGATCCGAGAGTCAATGCCGTGGGCAAAAGCTCAAACCTACTGCAGGGAAAACCACATCGACCTGGCCACAGTTCAGACCGCTGAAGACTGGACCACTCTGCAAGAAGTTGCCGATGCAGAAAAGTATCATTCATTTGCCTGGATTGGACTCTATAATGATGTCAACAGCTGGAGTTGGTCTTATCAAGCGGAGCGTTTAGTGTTTAAGTCCTGGGCATCTGGCCAGCCGAATAACTACACTGATGGAGAGGAGTGTGTGGAAATGTTTTCCTCTGGATACTGGAATGATTGCCTCTGCAATGCCAATAAATATTTCTTCTGTAACGACGGTAAGAAACACTCTATATGATGCTCATTATTTCAGTGTATGCATTTATTACATATCCATTTATTTATTTATTTATTTAGAAGATGCTTTTATTCAAAGCAACTTTCAAATCAGGAATACGATATGCATGAAGATTAATATAGTCTAACATAATGGAATTATGGGTGGGTGATAGAAGTAAAAATTATATAACAATTAGGCTGGATCATGAATTTTGTGCAGATGAATAATTTGGCCCAGACTGGCCCACTACATGATCATAAACACAACCGAACTTTGCACGCCCGTGAATATTTATACCAACTCCTATTAAAACCACTAATGCCATGCAATAAATGAATAGGACCGAGTAAGAGTTAACAGATGAAATAACTACTAAGTTGAACTATACTCCACATTAATTCTAAAACAAGCTATAAGCTGCATTGGGATAGCAATACTGATTTTTTCCCACATGAAATGCACATTGAATTTACGGGAAATCTGTCTTAGTGGTAATAAATATATATAATGAACAGCAGAGGACCCAGGACTGATCCTTGAGGTACACCACTGTTTATCGGAGATATGAATAGACATCTAAAAGTCAAAATGGGAGATTAAAGGGATAGATTAAAGGGATTTTTTAATAACTGACCACCATGTAATTTCAATCTTGTATTAATTCTTTCAAGGGAGACAGAGGAAAATAATATATACATGTTTTAACACTGAAAATATTTAGTCTAGGACTTAGGCTACAACTTTCAGTCAAAAATTCACAAAGAAATGCAAAGATTAAACCTTATATTTTGAAGTAGAATAACTGAACTGGAGTATAAAGAAAAGAAAAAAAAACATTTATTTCATGCTGGGTTCATACTGTATAAACTATGGAAATATTTAAACTTCTGGGAACAAATGTTGGCAGGTTTAAGCGGCTCACACTCGTTAAACTAGAGAACGTGATTTAGTCTTGTCATGCCTTTGATGTCTTGACTCTTTTTTTCACAGAAAGAGCCAACGCAACAGTGAGACTGGTTTTAATCAGAACTTCAATGACGTGGCTCAACGCTCAGAAGTATTGCAGACAGCATCACACAGACCTGGCCACTGTTAGGAGTCTAGACGACAACGCACAGATCACCAACTTGATGACGAATATGGGTGGAGTCTGGATCGGACTGTACAGGGGCGCGTGGAAGTGGTCAGATCAGGCCAACTTTACTTCCTCAACCCAACTCATTACTCAGAGACTCAACACGAAGGGCCAAAACTGTGTCGGTCTATATAATTCTAGTGCTTCCATTGATGATCAATATTGCACTTCATCTTATTACTTCTACTGCAGCATTGGTGAGTCCTTCTTTGACAGAAACTGATTGTGACTGTTCATTTAAAAGAAGTTTCCCAAACTGGAGGTTCATGAGAGAACTGTGAAATTAATTAAATAATAAAAATGTCAAATTAAAATATTATTTACATATTTATAAAAACGCAAATGGGATGCATTCTCCTAAACCATTTAAGTCGGAAACCCGAAAATGGCTGTTCATGTTCCGGTCGAAAATTTTCAGTAGTCGAAATTTTGATGCTTCACTATTTATAAATACGAAAAATGTATAATAATTAAAAAAACACATGTTCACAGTTTTCTGATGTTGGTTAATAATCACATGACATGCAGATAACCAACTAAAACATTTAATCTTTTTCTTAGTAAGAATTGTTGCTTGAAATTGCTTGAAATTGCTTGAAATGTGTTTATTTGTTCTTTTGTCCCTAATTTTTTTTTTTTTTTTTTTTTTTGCAATTCAGTTCAGAGTGTGTGTAAGCTATTGTGCAATTGCCCCATTTTAAATACAAGAATGCACTGCATAATCAAACAGTTATTTAAGATCATGTTAGATATCAAAATTTGTTAACTATATATTTTGAACAATGTCTTTAAAAATGCCCTCCTCCCCCAACACTAAAATCACTTAAGGAGGGATTCCCCCATCTTCAAAAATAAGATTTGGACCCTGAATGAATGTGTGTAAAATGTGATTGGAGCATCTCTATAAATAATTGTACAGGATTAAAAGAAGTCTTCAAAAAGAGAATAGATATCTTTGATCTTATCGACTCCAAAAATCCCTACCCTATCTCACGACCAATTCGTACGAATTCGTACGAGTGATTCAAAAGTGGCTAATTCGTACTAATTCATACGACCTCACTCGTACAAATTTGTACGATTTGTCTAAACCCACGTGACGGTTATGTTTAGGGGCGGGGTCAGGGGTAGGTCATTCGTACGAATTCATACGAATTGGCTAATTCGTAAAATATGTACGATTTAGCTAAATCATACGAGGGAGGTCGTACAAATTGTTACGAATTAGCCACCTCGTAAAATTCGTACGAATTCCCGTGAGATCAGGTTGAAAATCCTGATCAGAGAACCCGTGTTTTTGGTCAAATGGGTTCGGCTGACTAGTATCCCTCATCTATAAAGTAAGATATAGTAAAACATAAAGTAAGATATGATGTGCTTGTCCTGCAGTGAAGAGTAAGCAGCAGCTGATCCGAGTGCAGGTCAAAGCCAGTGAGAACGCGGACGACGCTACATTGAGTGCACTCGTCTTAAAAAAGGTGGGTTTATAATACTCAACAGACTAAGGCCCCGTCCACACTACTGAAAAACTGAGACCTTTTGGTACGTTTGCACCTCCCGCCCAGACTAAAACGGGAAAAACGAAGACCTAAAATGGAGAAGTTTAGAAACTCTGCAGCTCTTTTTTGCGTTTTAAATCTCCGGAGGGCGTTTTAGTGAAGACGGAACAAAACGGAGAAGTTTAGAAACGATGACGCAGAGGCTCACGTGATCACATGATCGGCATTTTCAGATGTTTTTAATGTGGACGGAAATCAATTCTAATACGCAGATAAAACACTGGTGGACGGAGATCGAATTTGTTTTAGTTCTCCGTTTTTAAACGAAAAAGCAGTAGTGTGGACGGGGCCTAAAATTAAAATGTTGTACTTTTGTTTTCTTTATCGGAATGGTAAGGAACTTGGTAAAGGTGATACCACTTGCTGCGGAAAGAAAACAAACGAGGTCCTGATGAAAATAGTCACACTTTTGTGCTTCTTCTTTCAAAATTGAGCGCATTGGAAATTGAGACGAATTTCCTCCGGTGGAAGTGTTTGGTACTGCAGCCAAACACAATCTGAATGAATGAAAGCTCTTTTTTCTGAGATATCAAACGTGTGTTAAAAAAAGATATCAAACTGGAGTCTGTGATATCAAAAAAAAGATATCAAAAAAGATAACAAACTGGAGATATCAAAAAAGATATCAAACTGGAGTCTGTGCTTTAAGCACTCAAGATTTACAATAGTTTAAGTTGGAAATTTAATTGTCAGGTCTATGCTCAATAAATGGATTATTTTCGGCAAGATTTGTAAAGTATAAGATGATCATTTTGAGGAGAAATACATCACACTTGTTTAATGAAAGCCTGTTTTGTGGTTCAGTTACAGCAGATGCTGAGCGATCAGGACGTCACACTCACATGGAGGAAACAACCGGACGGGAAAATCTTCCAGAAGAAAAAGACCAGGAACGCCAGTCCTCCAGTTTGCTGAAGTCATGTTCTTTATGGAGTGACACTTATCCCAAACCAATGCTATATTTCATTTTACTATTCAATTAAATATTCATGATTCCTATCTGAAGCGTTGATTAGTTGAAGTGATTTATTATTGTATTTTTAAAGTCATATGATATGGATCACACTTCACAGGCTTTACTGTGTAGTTTTACACATTTTCTGTTGTCTTATTGCTATAATGTAATGATATGTGTTCCAGTGCAGTTCATTTGATTGTAAACAATGTTTGTTCGAGGAAGTCTCCAACGCAAATTTTCATTTCTATGCCGATGATACTTTGATATACACTTGCTTTTGGTACTGTACAATTTACCTGGTTTGATTTAAAACACAATTTCCTTAATATTCAGGAACCAGTCTCACTGGTTGCTTTTAAATTACTTTTATGGCTGTGCAAAAATTAATTGCAATTAATCGCATCCAAAATAAAAGTCTGTGTTTACATAAAATATTTGTGTGTGCTGTATATAATTATTTCGGGTAACACTTTACAATAAGGTTCATTAGTTAACATTAGTGTTACCTTATTTTGTGTATACAGTCGTGCTCAGAATTAATGGCACCCCTGGTAAATATGATGAAAACTGGCTGTAAAAAATAATTCTGCATTGTTTATCCTTTTGATCTTCCATTCAAAAAATTGGCAAAATTCTAACCTTTCATTGAAGCAAAAGAATTGAAAGTGGGGGTAAATCACACTATGAAATAAATGTTTTTCTCCAAAACACTCTGGCCACAATTTTTGGCACCCTGTTATTAAAAACTTTTTGCAACCTCAGATCTGTAAACTTTTGCCAAGATAACAGATGGCAGAAGCTTCATTTTGTGCTCCGTAACTAATTTTTGTGTTGATTTTTGTTTTGGATCGTTGATGGAAGATCTAACCACGGCCCATTATAAGATTTCTAGCAGAAGGCGTCAGGTTTTTATTTTTTTATCTTTTTGTATTTGATAGAATCCATAATGCCATGTATCTGAACAAGATGTCCAGGACCTCCAGCAAATAAATAGGCCCACAACATAAAAGATCCAGCAGTATATTTAACCGTAGGCATGGGGTACTCTTCATCCCTGTTTGCACCAACACATCTGCTGGGTTTGCTGCCAAAAAGCCTCTTTTTTAGTTTCATCCGACCACAGAAGCCTGTGCCGATTGAAGATCCAGTCGTGTCTGACACCTGAATATGCTGGAGTTTGTTTTTGGAGGAGCGAGGAGCATTTTTCTTGAAACCCTCTCAAACAACATGTGGGGATGAAGGGGTTGTCTGATATTTTTTTTTTTTTAGGTTTTCTGACCCCAAGACTCAACTAATCTCTGCAATTCTCCATCTGTGATCCTTGAAGAGTCTTTGGACACTCAAACTTTCATCCTCACCGTCCATTAAGGCAAAATAGACACACGTCCTCTTCCTGGCAGAATCATAACATCTTAAGTTGATTATAACTTCTTAATTATTGTCCTGATGGTCAAAATGGGGATTTTCAATTCTTTAGCTATTTTCTTATATCCACTTTCTATTTTGTGAAGCTCAACAATCTTTTGCTGCACATCAGAACCATGTTCTTTGGTTTTATTCATTGTTATGGATGATTCAGGGAATTTGACCTTTGTGCTTCCTCATATTTAAACTCCTTGAAACAAGAAGTCATAGCTGGACAATTTCATGTTCCTAGTCACCCTGATGTGCTTAAAAAATTAAATATTAATGGGAATGTACTTCAGAGATATTTTTCTCATAAAAAATTCTAGGGGTGCCAACAATTATGGCCAGAGTGTTTTGGAGAAAAACATTTATTTCATAGTGTGATTTACCCCCACTTTCAATTCTTTTGCTTCAATGAAAGGTTAGAATTTTGCCAATTTTTTGAATGGAAGATCAAAAGGATAAACAATGCAGAATATTTTTTTACAGCCAGTTTTCATCATATTTACCAGGGGTGCCATTAATTCTGAGCACGACTGTAAATAAAATGAGTTTAAACTTGAACTTGAAGTGATATGTGGCTTAAAATCCATCTGTTCTTGCTCTATACTGGAGCTCCATCTGCTGAACATGAGATACACATGTTTTCGACTTTCGTAAGTTATTCTACGTAGTGTTTAATTCCTTTGAAATGCCTCCCAATATCAGAAATGTCAGATAAATACTAATTATAAAAAATATATATATATTGTCTAAACCTTGAAATGCAATGTAAGATAAAGGCGTCTGCCAAAGGCGTAAATGTAAATGTAAATTTAAACATTTAGCAGTGGCCAAATGTATGTTGCAGGTCACTTTACAAACATCTCTTGCTTATCTATTCATAAGCAAACAAAATAAATATTCATGATTCCTATCTGAAGTGTTGATAAAAGTGATTTATTATTGTATTTTTAAGGTCATATGATATGGATTACTAGCCTGACTTCGTCATACTCATATTCTATTGAGAATATGAGTCTGAAACTCCTCCATTGGGCTTTGATTTTGAGGCGTGTCGTAACCGAACCAGGAAAAAAAACCTCTGCACTCAATTGGATAGTCGGTAGACCTACAACCAATCAGAGCAACGCAGTAAGTCAACTACTTTGCATGCAGTTGTCAACATAGGCGGAAATCGCGGGGGGGTCGGGGGGGTCAGGACCCCCCCTATCTGAGGGTTGTCCCCCCAAAAAAAACCATTAAAATATGTGTATTGTAAATAATGTAATGATATATTCTTAAAATAATTAAGAAATAAAATAACACAAATGCAAACGGGGCAATTACGAAAAAAGCGTACTAAACATTTTGAGACCCCCCTCCCTTGCCTCACAGTGCGTTGGTCCACCGCCTCCGTCCCTTTTACCTCAGACGCCTCCGTCCCCTTAGACACACACATTCCGGTGGCGGGAGAGAAAAACATAGTGTTTGAATAGTTGTGGAACTCCAGTAAAGGGGGTCGCACACCGGACGAGAAGCGTAGCGGCGCGTCGCGCAGCGCCACGTCTTTAAAATTCGAACACATTATTCTCTATGAGTGTACACACACCGGCGGCGCCGTTCGGCGTCTGTCCGCGGCGCCCAGCAACGGCTCAGGACCGTGTTCAAAACCCTGCTGCGCCACAGAGCGCCATTTACATAGTTTTATATACAATTTAAATTATTTTTGTCTCAAATCCGTGCTGACGGATCCTGACTTCGCCCTATGCTGCAATATACATTTAGTTTTGCATTCATTTACAGAAATCAGCTGCTTGATTTTTCAGGTGAGATTCTCAATTCATTCAGTTAACGGATGCTCTGAGGTAAAGTTTTCAGACCGCAGACTCAGCAACGATTGTATTTAATTGTACATAACAATAATAACAGACACTATCTTCATGTCATTAAACATTACAATATTGCTGGCCATACACTGATTAGAAAGTCCGGGTGCGCTGTGCATTTAGATTCTAACGCTTTCACTGTGATTTAGTTGGTTTATATCATTTAATATAGTTAAAGAATTAGTCAATGAATGAAATGAAATCGCTGCGCTGCGTGAGGAGAGTATGTAAACAGATTCGCCGCTGGCTTAAACCAGAAAGAAATTTTAAGAAGTATAATGAAATGGTCTCCATGCTACACTAATAATAGTAGTAAGGCTTTCCTCTGTATTTTTTTGCCTGTATTATTGGTGTCCCCTTCAAAATTTGCTCTTGAGAATTGTTATGTTTATTGTCCCCCCCCAACATTTTGATGAAATTTTCGCCCCTGGTTGTCAACTACAGAACTTACTTATTTTAGAAGTTAAATAACGAGTGTTGCTTCTTTCACTTGGTCCTTCATGAGTGCCACCAAAGGAGAAACCACAACGACCACAGGCTTTTCATTACGTCCCATCTTCTTAACGACCGTCAGAGCCAGCTGATAAGTTACACTTCTGCCGAATATCTTTCCGATCGACAAATGCCTTGATTGCAGTTTTCTGTTTGTCTATTAAAATGAATGCGCTGTCGATTAATTTTAAAAACAGACGCGACAGTGGAATCTATAATCTCAATTCTCCAGCTGCAGTCATCTCTGAGGGAAACCGGTTAGCGCTCTTTGATAACGTGATGATTACGTCCCTGCAGATCATCTGTCCATCATCGTATAAAGCCCGCCCTTGCAATCTGATTGGCCTGAACATTTTTCGCCTGATCATGATTACTCCTCAATGGATCGAGTCCAGACTGAACTTCCCGACCAAAAAATGTTGTGGGTGGAGTTCGGGCTGGCATCCAGGCTAATGGATCACACTTCACAGGCTTTAAAATCAAACGTCTGTGTAGTTTTACACATTTTCTGTTGTCTTATTGTTATAATGTAATGATATATATTCCAGTGCAGTAAATAATGTTTGTCCGAGGAAGTCATTTATGACCAATTCGTGCAAAACCTTGTGTTGTTTTAAAGATGCAAAATTATCTGTCTGGACACACAGACACTGATTTCCATTTGGACTTTGTTTCTTTATTTGAATGGCATCGCTGAGCATGAAAATAACCAGTAACTGAGCTCGTCCAGAAGCCCATATTAACTATATGGCGTTTGTCTATTGTAACATTTGCTCTGTGTTTTGATGGATTATTAGCTGTTAATTTAATAATGCTAAACCCTAAAGTGACACAATAAGTACAGAAACATAAACATTCAATGTTTATACTTTTAAGAATGTGACCAAAAAAAGCAACATTTTTCTTAAAATAAAAAAGAAGAAGTTTTGGTGGCACAGTCGGGCTTCCTTGATCACAGTAACTTGTAACATTTTAGCGTTTGTAGTTTCTTAAAAGTTGAGTTATATTAAGGATTAAGGACATCTCCAATTTCTCTTTACACTAAAAATACTTTGTGTTCTCCAGTAGAAATGTCTGGACAAGTGGAATGACTTTAGATATTAAGTCTTGTTTTCTGAGAAGTGAATTCAGGGACGGGTGAAGGGAATGGTGTATATATTGGGTGATGATCAACTCAAGTGTTCTCGTGTCTCGAATGGGGAACATCACTGACCCCGATGGAAGAGAAGAGCAGATGCTGTTTCTACAAGCATGTACAAATGATCCATTTCCATAAGGATGGTATCAGTTACTGGTTATTTTCCTGCTCTGTGGTGCCATTTAAATAAGGATCCTTATAATGCAGCAAAGTCAGAACGGGAATCAGTCTCGGCGTCTCCACACTGAAGGAGGTTTTCCATGAAAGGTAATGGACAAATAAATATTTACTATATCAACAATATCGTTTGTCTCTACTTTATTTGTCATTTTTCAAATCAGGATTTTTTCCCCATTTAATCTGACCTTTAAGATTGAAATGGTTGAAAAGATGCATTTTTTTAAAGATAAATTGCCATGACACACTGCACATCATGTTGCATTATTATTTTATGTTATATTGATCTTATAATTGCACAACCTTTTTCAACATTGCACTGCATTCCTCA